TCCAGAATCAAGGAATATCTTTTAATTTTCTGAAATCTTCTTCAGTCTATTTTTTCGGACTATGATAATTTTTGCTATATAGGTCTTTTACTTCCTTTGTTAAATTGATTCCAAAAAATTTCATTTTGAAGGATCCTATTATAAAAGGTATGATTTTTCTATTTTGTTTTTACTGATATAGATAGATAGATAGATATAGATATATCATATATATTCAATTTTTTGAGTCTTGACTGTGTATCTAATTATGCTACTTAATTTAGTTATTAAAGCTCCAAGTCTTTTAGTGGAGGGTTTTTTTTTTCTTTTTGAGGGGGGGTTTTGTGTAGACTATCATGTCCCATTCAAAAAATAATAATTTATCTTTTCATTTGCTATTCTTATTCTCTCTCTTGTCTAATTGTTCTGGATCGTGCTTCCAATACTATATTGAATATGAGCTGTGACAGTGGACACACTTGTCTTGTTTCCTATTTTATAGTGAAAGCTTACAGTTTCATTCATTTAGTATGAAGCTGGCTGTTGTTTTGTCATAGATCACTTTTACCATAGAGAAGTGAAGTCCATCTTTTCCAGTTTTCTGTAGGGTTTTAGTAACATGAATGAGTTTTGGACTTTATCATAAACCTCAGTATCTGTTAAGCTGAGCATGCAGTTTTTGTCTTTGGTTCTATTGACTTATAATGATTTGCATATATTGAACCATACCTGCATTTTTGTGGTGAATCCTACTTGTTGGTGATGTATAATCTTCCTGTTTTGCTGCATTGTTTATTACTATTTCATTCACAAATTTTCATGAGTATAAAACACTCCATGCAAAAAACAAATACCCCATAGGTCATTTATTGTGGAAAGTTTAAATAAAGTTAATATCTCTCATTTCTCCAGGGAATGCACTGACTATAATGAAAGTTGAAACCTCAGGTTTAGAAACTTCTTACAGGAAAGTCCCCTAAGTGTAAGTTCCTAGTGGATTTGGACTGGTCCCTTGATGAATTGGAGATTGTGTCCCTTAATGAAACAGTATGTTTTGGGATGTTGCAGAAATAGCCTCACAGGGCAGAAAATGGTCTAATCTCATCATATTTGGACAAATGCCGTGAAGTTTGCCTATTGGTTATGGTTAGAAGGCTTCAAAAATCACATGTTCATCATGTGCTACATCTCTTTCTGTTATTTCACTGCCCTGGTTTGAACTTGCAAGTGGTCCAGGCAAGAGTGGATCAGACGCTGAGAGAGAATTAATCCTTTTAAGGAGGATGAATTTTGATAGATCTAGCAGAACAGGAGAGCTTTAATTTTCCCTTTGTTGCCTGTGTCTATTTTCCATTTGGCCTTTAGAGATAAGACATGCTCTGCCTGAGTCTGATTAAGAAAGTGCTCCAGACTTGCCAACCTCTTGACTAACATTACCAGAATGAATGCAAAAGCTGCAAACTAGTACCTCTCCAATGATGCTAAATGTTATCCATCACGGTATTCATTGGCTCTTGTCTTAGTACCAACTTCCATGAGCTTGCTTCCTCATTTATTGGCCACTAGGGTTTTGGATTTTGAAGCAGATAGAACCAGTGTGGAACCTGAACTTCCTGCTCCAGAAGAATATATAGCAGTAGCATCTGAATACAAGGAGTCCCTTTTCTGTTCTCATGACAACTGAATCACATTACTTCATTAAGGTATGTGTGGAAGGAGTTCATAAGCTCTCTTTAACCTGGTGATTCCAAACAGGTTAGCAGAAGAGTTACATTGTATAATGTGGTCTTCATAGTAGTTATTCAGGGTTGAACATAGAGTAATGTTTTCTCATCCAAACAATTCTTTTCAAAAACTTCATTTCAATCAACTAAGCAGCCAACCATGGAAGTATCTTAAGCAACTTGTATATAAATGTAGTCTTTATTTTTCTCTTTTTTCCAACTTTGAATTTTCTATGGACACAGTTACAATCCCAACAGTTAACAATAAAAAATGTGAAGGGTACAAACAATGAAAGTAATCAAATACAATTAGTCAAAGCAGCTATATGTTACTATGCTCTGTCCAGAAAAAAATAATATTTTTTCATTTATGTATTTGGTACAGAGTCTCACTACATAGCTCAGACTCATAGTTATCCTCCTCTTTTCTGTTTTCCCAGAGTTGACATTAAAGACTTGCATTACCATGAGTGAACTCAGTTGCTGATTCAGCAGTGCCCTGGGGGTGTGGCAGGCTGTGCATATGGGATTGAGGATCCTACTCTGGTCCCTGCACTTGCAAAAGCAGGTGCTTTAGTCAGAGGAATTAATCCATTCATAGATATCTTGAAGGATATATTTCTGAATACATGGGTAATTGTGGATAGCACTGAAGTAAGCATGGCTATTTTTCCTATATGTACCTCATTTTACATCATAAACTATTTGTATAGATAGAATTTTGAATGATCTCATCAAATTCATTTACTAAAACTTTTGCAAATTTAGTTGAAATTTTAACCAACTTATAGATTTACTCAGGGTAATAAATACCTTCATAAATCGAAAGAAAATATTTTTTACCATTATCTTTAAGAACATTAGCAATACTTCCAAAGTGAGTACCCTTTTGACCTTCTTTCTTTCTTTTTTTCTTTCTTTCTTTCTTTCTTTCTTTCTTTCTTTCTTTCTTTCTTTCTTTCTTTCTTTCTTTCTTTCTTTCTTTCTTCTTTCATTTTGGCTGGCTCAGCCTGCCTTGAGGGTGGTACTGAGAAAACATGTGGTGCAGGGGATTAAACTGCAGTCCCCGCTGCTGCCTAAGCTTGCCTAAGCAAGATGTTTAGATCACTGAGCTATCTCTCCAGGGTTATTTCAATTCTTCAGAAAAATTTCACTTGGATATTTAGTATGTAATAATAAAGACATACTAGTTTTCTTCAGTTACCAAAGACTTGAATTACTATTTAAAATTGATTGTTTTATATGCAGTGAAATTATGTGGAAACAATGATTTTATTATTCCCTGAATTCCTTTTATTATTCCTTGGGAAATATCACAAAATATTGAATAATATCTTTCAAAATAATAACTGTTTTATAATATTTTAAAATAGCCTGAGTATTCTCTTTCGACATACTTGTATCAATGCTATTAGATTTAAATGATTAGCTATAAAAATCTTGAAATAGAAAGTCTTTTTGATCTATTTTCAAGAAATGGATATTAGGTGTAGTTTAATTGCATAGTAATTAAGAAGAAGAAATACTGGAAAAGGCTGGTCTAGCATGCGAATTTCATCAGATTTTCCTTGAGTGAATAATACGTTATGCCTCCATTACTTGTAAAGTTTAGTTATTCTGGACAAATTTTTTACTTTGGAGTTTGAATGTACCCCACAAAGCCACATGTTCAAGCCTAGGTTGCCAGCATACAGTAATATTTGCAGGTGTTGAGACTTTTGGGAGGTTGCAAAAAGATTCTAGCAAAAGGAGGTAGAGCTTTGAAAGCATGTACCCCAAATGGACATTGGGATTCAACCTTTACCTTTCTTGCAGGGAGCAGATGGCCTCCTGTCATGTGTATTGGCTGTGATACACCATGATACATGATGTAGTGTGTCCTGGGCACAGAAACACAGGTGTCAGAAACCATGATCCAGAATAATTGTTTTTTAAAGTTGATTATCTCAGGGATGTTTTCAGTGATAGACAGGGCAAATGATACATTGCTCTTGGTTGATGTAGTATTTGATTTCTTTTAAAATTATACATTATTCACCTACACATCCTTTCTGCAGATTTTGGGTGAAGAAACCTGCTGTTACTATAATAGGGTTTTATTATATGTCACTTAACATTTGTTCTTTCTGCTTTGAGGATTCTCTCTTTATGCTTCATTTTGGCAGCTTGAGATTAATATGCATTAAGAAGGCCTGGTTATATTCCTCTTCATAGATTTCATATTATATCTTTTATAATACTTGAGAAATTCTTAGACATTATTTGGTTCAAAGTTTTTGTCTTTTACCAGTATTTCCTTTTCTTAAATATTGTGCTAATATGAACGTTATGCCTTAGTGTATTTTATATTTTTAAAATTTACAGCTCTTACAGGGCTGATTCAAGAGATCTATTTTGTGCACAAAAATTCATTGTTCTGCTCAATGTATTCTGTAGTAATAGCTGAGAATTGCATTTTTATTTTACTCACAATGTCACGATTCAAAAGCATAGGGCCTTAACAAAAACAAATTGATACATCTATGAAGTTTTCATTTCATAATCTACTAAAACAATAACATCTGATTCTCTAAAAGAAAATATATCAAATGTGAAAATATAGATTAATAATGAAAGAAAGGTGCTCAGTATAGGAAACTTACCAAAATATCCAATGCACAGAGGTAAGAAATTTTAAAATATAGATTAAAGATTATTTAAAAGACAATATTACTATGTCTACCTATCAAAGATGTAGTCATTTACACTGATATCCATCAGGATCCTCTTCACATTGAACACAAGACAGTAACCTATCATCAAAGGATGGAGTTACGGACAAGAGAAAGATTAATTTTACACCCCTTGTTCAGAATACTCTTTTAATATTGTGCCATAAAATGAAAAAAAAAAAACAATTTTCATGATGGTCACTAGTTCAACTTAGAAAGTCTTCTTCATTTAAACCTATAGCAATTAGTTTGCTTCCCAACATTACATAAAGGAAAGTTGAACTTGTAAATGTCTCTTCACTCTTACAGCTACTAATCCTCAAGTAAATGAACCAAGCAATGCTCCCAAAACATACTAATAATAATTTGTTTTCAATTGTGTTATTAAAATATTCAAGAAGAGGACATGAAAACAGAAACAAATTTCAGTGGTTAGAACAATATACCAAAAGAGATCTCAGTATTTAACCAGTATTACAACTACAGATACTGATTAATAAAATAGTTAACTTATTCAGAATTTTGAAAGAGCTGACTTATATTACTTGTTTTCTTGTTGTTTTTCTGTGAAGAGAAGTAAATAATCATGAGAGAGAAAAACCGAACCTCTGTGGTAGAATTTGTCTTCCTGGGTCTCTCACAGGATCCAAATATACAACTTCTTCTCTTCTTCGTGTTTATGGCCATTTACTTGCTGACAATCCTGGGAAACCTGTTAATGGTCATACTGATCCATATAGACTACAGACTCCACACACCTATGTACTTTTTCCTGAGAAACCTGTCCTTTGCTGATCTCTGTTTTTCTACCACTACAGTGCCTCAAGCACTTGTACACTTTCTGGTGAAGACAAAAACCATTTCCTTTGTTGGGTGCTCAACACAGATAGTTGTTTTACTTCTGGTTGGGAGTACAGAGTGTGCGCTTCTAGCAGTGATGTCCTATGACAGGTATGTGGCTGTGTGCAAACCACTGCATTACTCCAGCATCATGACACATGGAGTATGTATCCAGATGACTGTAGTTTCCTGGGGCAGTGGTACATTTGCATCCCTGGTGGACACTATATTCACATTACGTCTTCCCTACCGAGGAAACAATGTCATTAACCATTTTTTCTGTGAGCCTCCTGCCCTTTTGAAGCTGGCTTCAGCAGACACTTACACAACAGAGATGGCCATCTTTGCCATGGGTGTGGTAATCCTTCTGGCTCCTGTCTCCATCATCCTCATCTCCTATTGGAATATCATCTTCACTGTGGTCCAGATGCAGTCTTCAGAAGGAAGGCTCAAGGTCTTCTCTACTTGTGGTTCCCATCTCATTGTTGTTATTCTCTTCTATGGTTCAGGAATATTTGCCTACATGAGGCCAAATTCCAAGATAATGAATGAAAAGGATAAAATGATCTCTGTGTTCTACTCAGCAGTGACACCGATGTTGAACCCTATCATTTACAGCCTGAGGAACAAGGATGTCAAAGCAGCTCTCAAAAGAGTCATTGCAATATAGTTTTGGGTGATGGTTACCGGTGTGTATAATGCCATTTTTGATGATACGGAGAGAAAAAAATTATGTATGTGAAAATTTCCCAATTTTAGCTATTCCTCGACTTTTCCTTTTATAGTTTTCTGAGATATTTTTAGCATAGTTTCCACTGCAAACAAGGCACTTTAGAAGACCCATAAGGTTGGGTCGGCGAGATGACTCAGTAGATTAAACACTTCCTTGGCAAGAGCGAGGATCTGAGTTCAATCCCTAGTTCTGCCAAAAAAAATAAAGGAACACACCAAATCAAATCAAATAAACAAAATGCAAAAGAAGAAAATAGGAGAAAAATGAAGGAAGGAAGAAAAAAATAAAGTGAAGTGATGAATGAAAAAAGGTTGGAGAAAGCAAAAAGTGAAGGAAGGACTAAGAAAGTAATGGCAATTTCATTCCTAACCCATACATATACATGCAGAAATTTTAACATGTAGATATAAAGCTTTGATCAAAGTTCCAAGAACAAATAAATAATAACAGCAAATGCTTTTAAAAATTTATTTTCTAGCAATAAAATAACATCTTTCATTCTTGCTTGTATATATGAAATACTTTTTGAACCCATATATTCTAGCAATGTTTACAATTTGTAAAATGGAAAAGTGTAAATTCAAGAAATAATAAATGATAAAATTTTCTGAAGAATGCATATAAAATTAATAAAATAACAGTTTTCTAACAGTGCATATGCAGTTAAAATTTTTAAGAATACACATAAATTTAAGAAAAAAGTACAAAAAGTTGACACTAAAAGTGTAGATTGAGGTGCGTTTTCTTGAAGTATGGTCCTTCTTAAATACTAAAGAATCTATCCAATGTGGTATAGTAAAAAATGAATGTAAGATTATTTAAAATGTCAGTAGAATACAGATTTCTAAGAAATTGGTTCTCTTTTGCCTTGATAGACCATTTAAACTTTTTAATGTAAACTGACGTTGATACATTACAATCATTTATTGTTCCGGGGTTACATGTTAAGAATGCTTTTCTCTACTGGATGATGTAGGACACATGATTTCAACAATTTCCATGAAAGCCAACTCTAAATAATTCTTTTCACTCTAAAGTTTCTGTATTTTGAGGTGTAGGATAACTTTTATGATGAATGAGTTGTGAAATTATTTGTTTTACACTAAGCCTGCAATGGATTACAAATTCCATGACACTAAAGAGTGTTTCTCAATACTATTGCTTAAGAACTAACATATAAACAATTTCACTTGTTGGAATTAACTCTCCAAATCTCCTTGGGCAGTTGCTAAGCTCTTCTTTGTGGAGTTTCAACTCACCTATAAATAAGGAAAATTTCACTTCTTCATTTCTAAGCATTATTCCTTATATTTCTCTATCTTCTTTAAATGCTCAGTCTCATGTATCCAGAGCTATATTGAATAGGAGTGATAGTGGTAACCTTGTCCTGTTCCTGATTTTAAAGCTAAGGCTTTGATTTTTTGATTGACTATGAACTGGGCAGCTCATTGTCATAGATGGCTTTTATCAGGTAGATGTAAAGACCATTTACTCTGATTTTCTGTAGGTAATTTTATTCTATAGTTTTATCTTGAATGAGATTTGGACTTCATCAAAAGGTTTTGTACATCTATAGAGATGATAATGATTTTTGTCTTTGGTACTGTTGATATGACCAATTACATTTATTGAATTACATATGTTGAACCATTCCTACAGTCCAGGGAATAATGCCAATTGATTGTAACATATAGTCTTCTTGATGACTCGCTGAATAATCTTTGATAGCATTTTACTGAGAAGGTTTTTTTCTATATTCATGAGGGACATTGGGATATAGTTCTCTTTTCTTCTGTTTCAGCTAATTTTCTTTTTTAATTAATTTTATTAAGAAACAATTAGCAAAGAGACAGTTTCAAAACAAGTTAGTAGAACAGTTGCAATAATTAACACATTGTTTATTGTTGTCTTTGTAGTAGTTATACATAGTATAAGATGCAGACAAGATATCCTGTCCAAACACTATTAGTAAAAATCTTTCTTCTCATTGAATTAAGAGAAAGTAGCTGTATTTCTATCCTATTTTGTATATAGAGATACAAAATTGTCCTTCATTTATATCCCATTTTTTTGGTTTAGTTTTGTCAGAGTTGTGTATTCTATTACCATTTAAATATTGTAGTTCTCTTGCTTTGTTGGATCTTTCTCTGTTTTTTGTATCAGAATAATACTTGCCTGCAGGAATGAATTCAAAGAATAGTTTCCTCTTTCGGTTTCATTGAAGTGTTTGAGAAGAGTTGGCATGAAATTTTCCTCAAATATCTCATAGAACTCATCTGTAAATCCATCAGAACCTGAACTTTTCTTGTATTAGAGTTTTTCACTGTATTTTTAATTTTATTGATACTGAGTTATTCTGAATTTTACATTTTCTTGATTCAGTTTTGATAATTCACATCCATCTAAACATTTGCCCATTTCTTATGTCCTTTCCATCCTGTCAGAGTAAAGATGTTGGAAATATGAACTGATCATCTTCAATTCTTCAGAATCAGTAGTGATTCTTCATGTTACTTTTCTTATTTTATGAATTTTTTTTTACTTTCTTCTTTTTTTGTATTTTTAGGGAAGGATCTACAGAGTGTTCCAGATCTCACTGCTAGAGTAGACTCCTAGTGATTCTCCTGTTTACAGCCTCCCATGTTCTGGGATTACAGGCTTGCACCACTGTGCCCAGACTCAATGGCAACCTCAGGGCACCCTGGAGGCGGGGCCTGCATGGCAACCTGGGTGATCAAATCCCTGGCCCTCATGCCTGCTTGCAGGCTCTTTAGTCTGCTGAGTTATTTAGCTGGCCCTTCTTTACTTTTTTGATAACTGCATGAAAAAATTGTACATTTTATAACTAAATGCGATAGTATATCAGAACACTAAGTCATCACTCAAAAATCAGTACCCTAGAGAGATGGTAGGCAAGCAATGATGTAATTGCCATTTAAATTAGAGTACTCTGAGTAAATAGATCAAAGAGATTATCAGAAAATATGCCTTTCTTCTGGATAGTAAGAAATAACATTTTGAAAATAGCCATACTCCCAAATTTGTTGCACAGATTCAATGCAATTCTATAAAAACACCTTTAAAAAGCCTCACACATCCTGAGAAATTATTCCTATCTTTGATCTGTAACCTGAAGAAATCTAAAACAGCAAACACATTCCTGGGAGACAAAGACAAGACAGAAGCATCACAATCCCTGGCTTAAAATTATACTGCAAAGCTACTATGATAAAATCAGTGTGATACAAAAAAAAAAAAAAAAAAAAAAAAAAAAAAAAAAAAAAAA